ATTTTGAACTAAATCTACCCTTAAACTTCAAAAATTACTAAAAGTATCCTCAAATTTAATTTTTAATACCAATCTAGTCCTCCATTGATAGAAGTGCCAATTGACATGTTAAATTGCCAAAAAAATCACACCCTTTTTTAAAAATAATGATGTGAAAAATAAATAGGCAAAAGGTGTGATGATGTGGCATTTTTAATTCTTAGGTGGCATTTTAACTAAATTTTAATCACTAACCCAATTTCACCATTTCACTACCCAATGTATACAATTTAAAAAGACAAGAAACCCAAAATCTATGACGGCAACAACACAATGCTCTTGCTCCCTCTCCCCCCCTCCTTCCTTCCTTCCTTCCTCTTTCTCCTTTTCTCCCATGGCTCAATCTTCCTTAGCCAACATTCTTGATCTCCTTAGTATACTTTTCATGGAGGAAAATCTCATCAACAAAACTAAGTTTATGTTCACAAAATTCCCACAAATCAAACCTAGAAATGAAACCTAAATTCAAAGTAAAAGCCAAAGGAAACTAAAGTTGAACCCTGGCATATGACAAATCTGGAACCCAAATTTGAGTTGCTTGTTGGCCCATCGTTCCATAAAGGAGAAGAGAGAGAAATAAGATGAAAGCTCACATCTGATTGGATAATTGCCTCATGCACATCTAATGTTTGGGAAAAGGAAGGGTAAATAGGAGAAAAGATGAGGGAACAAAGGATGAAAAGGGGGGTGGAGATCCATTGAAGAGAGAGAGAAAAGGTTAGATCAACTAAGGTTGAACCTCGACTCGCAAGTCTCATTGAAGATCCAAGCTCATATATTGTCAAACTGATTAGGTGAGCTAGTGAGGAGAGATTGGGTGAAGGAAGAAGGATGAGGAAAAAAAGGGGATGGGGAAGGCAAATCAAGAATTTAACCAAATCAAAGTTATTTAATGATTATTTAAATTTAAATTTAACTTAATAAAATTCATATCATTTTTAAAAATTGCAACATAGATTACAAAATGTACCATATCACCTACTTTCTTTCCACCTAATATTCAATATTAAAAGAAATTGAATTAGTTAATAGAAAATTTGGCCACATCATCAATTAACTGATAGAAAGACAAAATTGATACCAAAAATTAAAGTTCAAGAATAATTTTGGTACCTATTGAAGTTTGAGGGTAGATTTAGTTTAAAAATAAAAGTTTAGGGACAAATTAGGTATTTAACCTAAAAAGAATAGTGGGTGGGCCCTTTTGCCGAGCTTGTTTTCCAACTTCTTTGTGGTGATAATTCCGTCTCTCACAAGTCTAATTCCTTTGGGAGTGAACACTACTTCCTTTTAGCAATATTGAATTAAATTCTCAAACTAGTGAGAGAAAAGAAAAATTATGTTTATAAGGATTATCTTTTTTCTTATAAACAAAGAAAAACATTACTTTTTAGAATTGGTTAAACTCTTTATTTGTATTTTGAATATTATTATCATTTTAATTAATACCTCTAAAATTTTTATTTTCAAATGAAACAAAATTTAAAATTTAAAATCTATAAAAAAAACTCAAAAATTAACAATTAAACCTCGTATTTATATATTGATTTACATGTGATTTAGTTATTAATTTTAAGTTTTTTATAAGTTTTAAATTATAAAAATTATTAGGTATAAGTAAAAATTTTAAAAAAATGTTGACAATAGAAAATAATAATATATAAAGTAGAAATAGACTGTTCGGCATTTAGAATTTAACATGTTATAATTTATAAACTAAACACAGTTTGGGTGTGTTTCAGCGTTTGGCCCTAAAACGTGTGGAATGGAAACGGAACCAAACTTGAAAAGGAAAGTTGTTTAGTCCAGACGATGGCGCCAAACTCGAAGACAACGACCTAAGCGGGAATTTTGAAACTCGTCCACTTCTTTTGTTTTTCATAATAATAATAACAATAATAATAAAGAAGTAATCATATTCTGATAATTTATTTTTTTAATTTTTATATATTATTAAATAAAAATATTTATATAATATTATCAATATCAATAAAATAATAAAATCCAATTACCAAATGATATACTCCATCCGGTGCTTTTATTTATTT